GAGGAAGAAAGAGGTTGGGCAGGCTACTAGGGCCTCATGGGCTTACCCATGAGCCCATTTACAAGCCCACAAATCATCGGCCATCAGCCAGATCCTCAGCCTTCGGCATATGCCTTCGGCCATCAGCCTTCGGCATCTGCCCTCAGCCTTCGGCATCTGCCTTCGGCCTTCGGTATTCTTCCTCTTCCCCTTGGGTCTAACCCTATGTACAATGTATACACACATTATTATAATGAGAACATACTTCTCTGTGGACGTAGCCCACATGTCCATTTATTTACCGATTGCTCTTACATACTGAGGGTCCTCACCCTCAACATCCACCTCATCTTTAAATTGGCCTACATACTACCTGTCTAGTTTTAGCGCAAACACCCTAGCCACTTTCTCCCTCTGTGAGTCCTAAAGGAAAATTCCATATAGGGGGAGGAGGAAGAAGCGTCACAGCCCCTCCTCCCCCTCATCTCTTCTCGTCTTTTCCTTTTAGGTTAGTGAATAAGTCCACTGGGGCGTTTTGAATAAAAAGCCCCTTATAGTGGTTTCTTCTGAGCTATGGTTAGATTAAAATTCCCCATCACCCCTTTTAGTCTATGTTCTCAATCAAATCCTACTCCTAAAACCCGCCCCCTAACGTCCATGTTCTTTAAATTTAATTATATATCATCTTTAACGGAGGTTGCTGCAAATCACCCAATTGTTCTTTGGCAAAGTTGTTGTTTTCGTTTATTTATTTGCTCTTATGTGCAGGTAGATCGCTGAAAATCATATTTTTCCCAGATCTGTTACGGATGCGGTGGTGGGTGTGGTCGCAACGACGCTTCTTCAGGTGGTGGTGGTGGTAGGGTTCGTTTAGGTTCATGGGTTGATTTAGGGATTTGGTTATGTTGGGTTTGTGGGCTTTGTTTGGGCTTATGGCTAATTGTGATGGTGTGGACTAGTAGTTTTAGTGCGGCTTTTGTCCGCATTAGTTTTTCTTTTAGCATGTTAATTTGTTGCCCTCAAGGGATTGGTATTTTAGATATTTTGCTGATGCCTTTAATTGTACCGTTGAAGTTTATCTAATAAAATTTCTATTTGATAAAAAAAAAAAAAAAAAAAAGATTACAACATTCAGCATCAAGTCACAAAAAGACCAAATACGAATAGTACAATAAAGAAGAATTTGTGCCAATAACTTGGTCTCTATCCTTCTAAAGCCCAAAAACTTGGCCATGCTTTTAATCATAATAATAAAAAAAATTGCAGAAAGACAAAACAAACTCACAGTTTGGGAATGGGACCAACATGTGAACGAAACAATGAATGTCGACCTTCAGCTATAATTTCCCTAGTTGTTTTATTTCTCAAAATGACTATTGTTCCAGAACGACCTCCTTCTCGTCCTAACATTCTTGAAGTTATCTCTAGCTCATCCTGCAATTTGGCATTAAAAGATAATCATATGTTATAAGTTTCTTCTCGGATATCTGATAAAATTAGAACGATACGAAGATCATATGCACGTAATGGATACACCACGCACACGTGACAAGTAATTATGGTAAATCCCACAACTAGAAACACAAAATAATAGCCCAAATGAAATACAAAACTATGAAGCCTGCTGGGGTTAGCTTAAATAACTAGTGGTCGGAGAAATGGGTTAGAATTAGGAGAAATTCTGGGGTTCGAATAAGGTCAAGCAAACAACCACACACACTTTCGTCCTACCCATTTGAGTGTGTTGCCGTTGTTATGTTTTCTTGGTTAGATCGGTGCACCAGATACTAAGTTATATCAGGTTTTGATAAGA